CTGAGGTCAGAAAGGTTGCTGCCTGTGTTCTCTAGGATTTTGATGGTTTCCCGCCTTACATTTAGGTTTTTCATCCATTTTGAATTCATTTTTGTGTATGGTGTAAGAAAGTGCTCCAGTTTCATTCTTACGTGGTCACTATCCAGTTTTCCCAACACCATTTGTTGAAGAGACTGTCCTTTTTCCACTGCATATACTTTCCTGCTTTGTCAAAGATTAGTTGGCCATACGTTTGTGGTCTATTTCTGGGTTCTGTCTTCTGTTCCATTGATCTGTGTCTGTTTTTGTGTTAGTACCATATTGTCTTATTGATTACAACTTTGTAACACAGCTTGAAGTCCAGGATCGTGATGTCTCCTGCTTTGGTTTTCTTTTTCAGTATTACTTTGGCTATTTGGAGTCTTTTCTGGTTCCATAAAAGTTTTCAGATTGTTCTAGCTCTGTGAACAATGCTAGTGGCATTGTGATGGTGATTGCATTAAAGATATACATTGGTTTGGGTAGTACAGACATTTTAACGATGTCCGTTCTTCCAATCTGTGAACATGGAATGTTTCTCCTTTTTTTGCGACGTCTTCAGTTTCTTTCATAAGTGTTCTGTAGTTTTCAGGGTGCAAATCTTTTATCTCTTCAGTTAAGTTTATTCCTAGGTATTTTGTGGGTTTTGGTGCCATTGTAAATGGGACTGTTTTCTGAATTTCTCTGTCTGCTGTTTCATTATTGTATAGAAGTGAAACAGATTTCTGAACATTGAGTTTGTATCCTGCGACTTTGCTGAATTCATGTGTTCTAGCAATTTTTTGGTTGAGTTTTTCAAGTTTTCTACAGAGTATCATGTTGTCTGCAGATAGTCAACGTTTGACTTCTTCCTTGATGACTTGGTAGTCTTTTATTTCTTTTTGTTGTCTGATTTCTGAGGCTAAGATTTCTAGTACTATGTTAGATAGTATTGGTGAGAGTGGACATCTGTGTCTTATTCCTGACTGTAGAGGAAAAGCTCTCTCTTTTCCCCCATTGAGGATGATACTAGCTGTGGGTCTTCCAAATATGACCTTTATGATGTTGAGGTATGTTCCATCTATACTTTGTTGAGAGTTTTTATCATGAAAGGATGCTGTATTTTGTCAAATGCTTTTTCTGCATCTATTGAGAGGATCATATGGTTCTTATCCTTTTTTTTTATTAACATGGTATATCAGGTTAATTGATACGTGATTAGTGAACCAACCCTGTAGCCCAGGAATGAATCCCGCTTGATCATGAGGAATAGTTCTTTTAATGTACTGTTGGATTCAATTTGCTAGTATCTTGTAGAGAATTTTTGCATCTGTGTTTATCACCTGTTCATTCTCCTTTTTCGTGGGGTCTTTGCTTTTGGAATCAAGGCAATGCTGGCCTTGTAGAATGAGTTTGGAAGTTTTCCTTCCATTTATATTTTTTTGGAACAGCTTGAGAAGAATAGGTACTAACTCCTTTAAATATCTGGTAGAATTCCCCTGAGAAGCCACCTGGCCTCACACTCTTGTTTGTTGGGAGAGTTTTGATTACCGATTCGATTTCTTTGCTGGTTATGGGTCTGTTTAAATTTTCTATTTCTTCCTGTTTCAGTTTTGGTAGTTTGTATGTTTCTAGGAATTTGTCCATTTCTTCCAGATTGCCCAGTTTGTTGGCATGTATATATTTTTTTTAGTTTTTTAAAGTTTATTTATTTTGAGAGAGAGAAAGCTCACAAGCGGGGTAGGGACAGAGAGAGACAGAAAGAGAGTTCCAAGCAGACCCTGTGCTGTCAGCACAAAGCCCTGTCTGGGGCTTGAACTCACAAACCATGAGATCATGACCTGAGCTGAGCTTAAAGTCTAATGCTTAACCAACTGAGCCACCCAGGCACCCCTTGGCATGTAATTTTTAATAATAGTCTCTTATAATTGTTTATATTTCTGTGGTGGTGGTTGTGATCTATCCTCCTTCATTTGTGATATTATTTGGGTCCTTTCTCTTTACTTTTTGCTAAGTATGGCTAGAGGTTTATCAATTTTATTAATTCTTTTGAAGAACCAGCTCTTTTGTTAAATTTTTTTAATGTTTACTTTTTGAGAGCAAGAGAGAGAAAGCGAGCGCAAGCAAGCGGGGGAGGGGCAGAGAGAGAGAGCGCACGAGACAGAAGATCCAAAGCATGCTCTGTGCTATTAGCACAGAGCCTGACGAGGGGCCCGAACCCACGAACCGTGAGATCATGACCTGAGTTGACATCAGACGCCTAACTGACTGAGCCACCCAGGTGCCCCCTTTCTTCCTTCTTGAGGTAGGCCTGTATTGCAGTATACTTCCCTCTTAGGACTGCCTTTGCTGCATCCCAAAGGTTTTAGACTGTTGTGTTTTCATATCCATTTGCTTCCATGTACTTTAGTTCTTTAACTTCTTGGTTAACCAGTTCATTCTTTAGTAGGATGTTCTTTAATCTCCATGTGTTTGTGGTTATCCGAATTTTTTCTTGGGGTTGACTTCAAGTTTCATAGTGTTGTGGTGTGAAAATATGCATGGTATGATCTCAATCTTTTTGTACTGTTGAGGCCTAATATTTGATCTGTTCTGAAGAATGTTCCATGTGCATTCAAAAAGAATGTGTATTCTGCTGTTTTAAGATGAAATATTCTGAATATATCCATTAAGTCCATCCGGTCCAGTGTGTCATCTTGGCAGTGGCTGGCTTTTGTTGAATTTGGTGGGATTTTTCTGTGCTTCTTGGACTTCAGTGGCTGTTTCATTCCCCGGATTGAGGAAGTTCTCAGCTATAGTTTGCTCAAATAAACCCTCTGCCTCTTTTTCTCTCTCTTCTTTTGGGACTCCTATGATACAAGTGTTACTGTGCTTTTTCCCTAAGTCTGTATTTGTGATCCAGTGCCTTTCTTTCCCTCTTCTTTTCTGAGTCATTAGTTTCCATAGTTTTCCCTTCCATGTCACCAGTTCATCCCTGTGCTGTGTCCGTCCTCACTGGCATTGCATTCAGTTGGGCTTGCAACTCCGTTACAGCATTTTTAATTTTGGCCTGACTGGGTTTTAGTTCTTTTATCTCTGCAGTAAGGGATTCTCTGGTGTCTTCTGTGCATTTTTCAAGCCCAGCTAGTAGCCTTATAATTGTTTAATTCTAGTTCAGACATCTTAATTATGTCTGTGTTAATTAAAACCCTATCTGTTACTTCTTCCTATTCTTCCTTTTGGGGTAAATTCCTCCGTCTGGTCATTTTGTCTATATCACTGTTTTTTGGTGTGTGATTGTTAGGAAAGCCTGAGAGTGATGGCTGTATTAAGAAGAGGTCCAGAAAAGAAGGGGTGAGGCAGCCCCTCTGCACTCTGCTGTCGTGTTCTGGCTGCTCCTGCCCTCAGGCCAGTCCCTTGCAGGGTTTCTCCTTGCCTGCATGGGGGGTGTTTGGACCTTGTCCTCTCACCGTATGGCAAGTTTTAACTAGATGTGTTTTGGTCTGCTCGTTAATAGAAGCTAGATCAAAAGAAAAAGAAAAAAGAAGCTAGATCCTGTTTGCCCTAGAGACGAAATTTGCAGCCTCTTTGATGAGTAGACTTGATGCGTGGGGGAGGTCTGTGCTGGTCTTCTCCGTGAGGGGCCTTCGGCGCTGACTCTCAGGCGGACTTGCCCGAGCGAAGATGCACCTGCAGGGCGCAGGGGCGCGGGCGGGGTAGTTGGCTCCTGTCTCCACTGGGAGGTGCTGTGTTCACTGACGTTCATCAGTGCCGGTGGGCTGGAGCTGTGGCAGTGGCAAAATGGTGTCCCCCCCACTCTTGTCCCCAGAGTGGCGAGTTCGCACCTGTCACTTTTCAGGAAAAGCAAACAATCACCCCTCTTGTGTCCCCAGCTTCCGTCAGATCCCTGCCTTCGCCCTGTCTGCGTCCGAGCTGTGTGCCAGGCGGCACAGTACTCCTGTGTGTTATCTGAGGCACGTGGCTGGGTGTCAGAACTCCACATTTTAAGGTCCCACGTGGCACACACCCCCGCTGATCCTCTGGAGGAGGGTCTCACTGTGCTTCTGCCATTTGCCATTTGCCGTTTGCCAAGGAACCTTTTATTTAGATTTGACTCTCCCCCGTTGGCAGCTCTTAGTGTACTTGAGGAGGGTCCCTCTATGCAGGAACGCTTAGGTAATCATCAGTATGTACTTCCCGTTGGACTTCCATAAACTTGTCCGCTTGTAAGGGACACCCTGAACTTCATAGGCCTCTTTTGGTCTGCTCTTCAAATACGGTGCAAACATAAAGTTTTTTGAGAGTTGTCCTAATAACGTTGAGTTGCAATGTTATTTAGACTAATGAAAATACTATACATTAGAAATCGTGCTGTATTAACATAGAAAGTTGTCACTTGTTTCTCCATTGTTTATTGAATTGTAGGTGGCAGAAAAGAAAGAAATTAAAGAATATTTTGAGTCAAACCTCTCTGAAGACTACACAACACATTTCAAGCTGCCTGAATATCGACGTTTATTAAAAACAATTTTGAGGTTTCTGATGCTGGTTGACTACATATTTCAGGAACTCATCCGTCAACTGATGAACACTGCCGTCACACTGCTTTTGGAATTATTTAATAATTCTGCTAGAGTGCCATTTTCAAGGGAAAGAAAGAATGAAAATCTCATCAAGTAAATCGAACTTTTTTTGGCTTGTAAAAAGAATTTATGATCATAATGTAATATGTTGCCACTTACGGAGGAGATATCCAGTAACTTAAGCTAGAATTTGAAAATTCTCCTTGTAAATTATATGTACTCAGTTTTTGCAATTTTCTGAGCTTCTTATCTGGTAATACCCTCCTTAATACTGTCCATGAAATTTAAGAAAATTTCCCTCTTCCCCTTTCCACCCCCAAATTCTGCATAGGTTAGCTTGCCCTTTGAGATACATGATGTCCAGTGAAATTTGAAATTCAGATTAACAATGAATAATATTTTAGTACAGTATGTCCCAATATTACCTAAATTATTGTTTATCTTGGAATTCAAATTTAATTTGGTGTTCTTTATTTTTAATTTGTTAAACCTGGCAATCCTATGCATAGGTATACTGTATCTTCAAAGTTCAGAACTAGCCCTTAAAGATGTGTGAGGATGATTCTGGAAGTAGCCACAAGGTTCATTTGGAATTTGGGTCAATTCCAACTATCTATTGAAAACAAAATGTTTTCAGCTTCTATTTAAATACTACTGTTAAAACCTTTTTCTTATTTTCCGCAACTGGATCTATCACTGTGCCTTGTGAGCCATGGAATATGAACTGAGACTGTAGATACTTTATGTTCAAACTGTCAAAATTTAGCAATATTATTTTAAGTCAAATCAGAGTTTTAGTATCATAACTGGAGAGTGAAAAATATATCAATTCATAAAAATTTGAAGAATTTTAAATATGTTATTTCTCTAATTTATTATTGGATCCAGCAGAGCTTAAGTCATTGATCTAAGGCCTCATAAGTGATTTGAGTCAGTGCCAGGACTTTAACCTATATAAGAGCACTATTTAGTAATAGCACATTATAACTTTATTTCTCCTAAAACTACAAGTATGTGTGTATGTGTGTGTTTGTGTGTTTAGGAGAAGTTTTTAATTTGGAACTTCCTTCCTTCCTTCCTTCCTTCCTTCCTTCCTTCCTTCCTTCCTTCCTTCCTTATTTATATTTTAGTGTTTATTTTTGAGAGAGAGAGAGAGCACAAGCAGGGGAGAGGGGGACAGAGGATCCAAAGAGAGCTCTGTGCTGACAGCAGACAGCCCAACGTGGGGCTCAAACTCATGAGTCACGAGATCATGACCTGAGCCAAAGTCAGACACTTAACTGACTGAGCCACCCAGGCCCCTGAACATAATTTTTTAAAATATATATTTATTATTATATTAAATTGGTCATATACTAGAAAATATTGAAAACAAAAATTATCCTAATTACAAACTTTTCCTATGTATTTTTCCATGGTACTATTTCATAGCTTATTTTAAAAATACAACATGCCTTGTATACTTTTTTTTTAATGTTACAGGAGAAATACTTGTGTATTTCAAGTATATGTATTTTTAGAATCATACCACCTGGGTTAATCCCCGTTTCATCTCTGACATGTTGTGTGACTTAGGTTAGCTAGTAAACTAACAGAGGTTATATAAATTCTTTAAACCTCAGTTTCCTCATCTATAAACTAGAGATAACAATAATACCTATATCATTAGGTTCTTTGAGAATAAACAGATTAAATGCCTGCTGAGTAGGTGCTACCATTACTGAATCTGTTCCCACTGACCTCCTAAACAGTATTGGTTTGTATTTCCGTAATGACTAATGATACTGTGCATCCTTTGATATTATTGGCTATCTGTAGATGTTCTCAGACAAAATGTCTGTTCAAGTCCTTTGTCCATTTTTATTTTTATTTATTTTTTAATGTTTATTTTTGAGAGAGTGCAAGCAGAGGCAGGGCAGAGAGAGAAGGGAACAGAGGACCCAAGTGGGCTCTGTGCCCACTTGTGGAGAGCTTGATGTGGGGCTTGAACTCGTAAACTGCGAGATCGTGACCTGAGCTGAAATCAAGAGTCAGACACTTAACTGACTGAGCCACCCAGGTGCCCCCGTCCATTTTTAAATTGTGTTGTCTTGGGGCACCCTGAATAGCTCAGTCGGTTAAGCATCCGACTTCGGCTCAGGCCATGATCTCACAGTTTACAGATTCGAGCCCTGCATCGGGCTCTGCTGGCAGCTCGGAGCCTGGAGCCTGCTTCGGATTCTGTGTCTCCCTCTCTCTCTGCCCCTCCCCCATTCATGCTCTGTCTCTCTCTGTCTCAAAAATAAATAAACGTTAAAAAAAACTGTATTGTCTTTATTGTTAAGTTATAAAGAATTTTAAAAATATAT